GCTTTAATTCGCTGAGCTATTTGGCCGGCCCTCATTCATTCATTCTGATCTATCATTTCAACGATTAGTTCAATACTGGCAGGATTTTCCAATATACTCTTATGTTATATTTCTCTCAAAAAAGGGGGGGGGTCTTCAAAATTCATATAAGCCTTTGTTTTTGAGGTACAGGTATTACAAATTTCTATTCACAACAGTCAAAATTTTAGAATAACTAACTATGGCACATGCTTGACTAAAGGCAAAGGTAACAAACCTGAAAATAGTTACTGAATCTGAGAGGGAACCAACAGCAACATCAGGGTAGGAATTTCTGTCAAGGTCCATATTTCCAGCAATTGAATATCCAAAATAAGGCGTTGTACCCTCAAGAACCTAAAATAAACAGGGTATCAGAACAGACAGCGGGCCACAAAAAAGCTGCGTATCTGTGCATTTAAAAAGACACATAAATTTCTTCTGAACTAAACTTTGGGCTCACTTATAAGTAGAGTTCTAAATTATAAATATCTCAAACACTTCATACATCTTACCTCATAAAAGTCTGATTTACGAAGCATCTCAAAGGACACAGTGACAGCTGTTCAAGTCAGTCAGGGAACTTCAAATCCATGCAACCTTTGTACTTGTGCTCCAAAAGGTCCCTCGTGTTTTGTTTTGTTTTGTTTTGGCGGAACCAGGGATTGAACTCAGGCCCTTGCTTATTGTGCTAAGCTATCTCCCCGGCCCTGGTCCTTCGTTATTTTCAAAAGCTGTTCGGTGCTTGAATTCTTCAGGTAACTACCAATGTGTACTATTTACCCAGTTTTGGCTCTATTTAGTATGCTGTTAAGGGAAGTACTACATATCCTTTCCATCTCTTAAGCTGTCAGGTTTTAACATTCTTGCTTTCAGTTCCTTTCTAACTCATCTAAGATATTTTACAATTAAAATAAGGTCATTGCATTTATATGTCCACTTCAAAGCTATTCTCTAGTAACAATTCTCTGAAAAATAAATATTTATATTGTAGGCTCATAAACAAGATTAATATGAAAAGCTACTTGAATCTACATGCTATATTACAAGACAAAAGGGTGAGGTTCTACGTACTGAAATCCAGGTTGTCTGGTTACCTGTGTTGGTTTGGTATTTATTCCATTTGCAGATCCATGATAGATGAAAACCTTTCCCTTATCATCATAGGGAGCTCCAACCGCAATATCTGTTGACAAGATCATTTTAATAGGTGTTAACATTTTAAAATCATTCCAGGACAATGTTTTAAAATGAGATCTCATGACACTCATTATTTGAACCACAACTATAACCATCTCACAATGTTACCTACCTGGGTAGCCATCTTGGTTAATATCGCCAATATTTTTGACAGCAATGCCAAACATAGAATCTTTGGTTCCATTAAGACGAATTGGCTTGACATTACTCCATCTGCCTTGCTGGTTAATGTAGACATATGCTGCTCCTCCAATTTCTCCATCTCTATCAAAATACTGTGGGGCTCCGATCACTATATCTTGCCACCTGAGAACATAAGGAAGAATTGTGAATTATTGGCTAAATACCAACAAGCTTTGGAAGAATATCACCAGTCCAGGAACGAAAGACAGAGGTAAGAAAAAAAAAAAGACCTCAAAGATTTACATCTCATGAACTAAAATACTTGAAAAAAAATCAAGGTAGCCTATATTATAAGTGCCTGAAGAAGAATCCTGGGGGTAAAAACTCAGCCAGTTCCTCAAAAGTCAGAGCCACAATATGACAAGACTTGGCCCTGCAAAGATCCCACTACTCCACCAAAAGCCACAAATTGCTGGGTATGGTGGCACATTCCTGTAATCCCAGCACTCAGAAGGCTAAGACAGAAGGATCACTGTGAGTTCAAGGCCAGCCTGGGCTACAAAGTGAGTTTAAGGCTGGCCCAAACTGTATAGAGAAACCCTGTCTCAAAAAACCAAAAAAGCACAAGCCATAAATCAACCATGTATTGATTTTGGCAGCAGTTCCCACTTTCAGTAAGACATACTGGGTGCTCCAACAGCCCCTCAAGAAACCACAGAGGGACTGGGGAGATGGCTCAGTAGAATAAGCGCTTGCCTGGCAAGTGCAGGGTCTTGAGTTCAATCCCCGGTTCTACCAAAAAAAAGAAGAGGGTCATGTAGATGTCATTTTCTGGGTTAACTTCTTTTCAGATTTTACTTCTCATGGATGCATTGTCCCAAGACAGAGTTACAACTGAACAGTATAAATGTAATCTACCTTGGGGAGGATAATGAATGTCTGCTGACATACAGAGGATGAAAGGTGGGATGGGAAGTGTAAAAATCTGGCAGCAAATATATCCTTTGGACCAATGAACCTGGAAAAACAGCTATTCTCTAGACTGACAGAAGCCAAAGCAGCAGCGAGTAACCGTGCAAAATAACTTACAACATTCTTACCCATCTTTGTTGAGGTCCACCACGGCCACATCATAGCCAAATGAAGAAGCAAGACCTTCGCCTTCAAATATGTATTCAGGAAGAAGATGTGCAGATTTCAGTTCCCTTTTTAGCAAAACCACAGCACCACTGTGATTGGCTCTTGGAGCGCCAGACACAAAAGTGATTTCATCTTTAGAAACAATACCTTTCCCTGAGTCCAAGGAAAAGCCTAGAAAAAACAAACACAGCCTCTCACATCCATCCTGTGTTTCTGTAGGTACGTGGTTAATGATTCTACCTCTAACTTCTGGCTTCCCACCCTGATCTCCTCCTGACCCTTCCTCTAGCTATCAAACTAAGATTATGCTTTCCATGGATATTAAGACTTTTAAGGAAGTGTCTATGCTATTTAGCACTTGTAGAAATTGAATTATGAAGTCCTCATGCATCTTAATCAATTTGAACCCATTTTAAGGCTTTAGTAAAAGGAGAGCAAGCTAGATACTGCCCTACCATGGCAATGTTACATTTTAGCCGCAGAGAATATGACTTGACTCCAACATTACTGAATGTACACTATGAGGTTGGGCTGTAACACAGTGATCTGTATTTTTACATGAACAAAAAACCACATTCCTCCATTTCCTGGAAATCAGTGAAGGACAGATGCTAAAGTCATCAATATACCACAGATAGCATTTCATGACTTTGGATCCTTAGTTCTCATACACAGTATGCACACAGAACCATGACGGATGATATTCAGTATCTGAGAACCTGGTACAACAACAGTGAGTGAATTATCACTATCAGTTATGTACTTGTTCAAAGGTCAGAAGACACTGGAATACCCA